TTGTCATTTACTTTTTCTGTCATATTAACCAATCTGATGGGTGTTGTATCACAATCCAAGTTGCATCAGAGTTGTTTTCATTTGTATTTCTCTAATCAATACTGACTTAGAACATTTTTTAATATGACTATAGATAACTTTGATTACTTTGTCTGAAAACTGCCTATTCATATCCTTTGACCACTTATCAACTGGGGATATTTTTTATAAATTTGACTCAGTTCTCTACATATTTGAGGAATATAACCTTTATCAGAGAAATTTGCTGTAAAAAATTTTTCACAGTTATGATTAATGTACATTTCCCTCTATCCTATTTTTCTCCTCTTTAGCCTATCCTCTCCTTTCACTCTATCCATTCTCCAAAGTGTTATGCTTCTGACTACCACCTTCCCCAATCTGCCCTTCCTTCTATCAGTTCCCCTTTTCTTTTATTCCCTTTCCCTCCTACTTTCCTGTAAGGTAGATACATGTAAGATAGCTGTTTACTCTACCCAATTGAATGTGTATGTTATTCCCTCTTTGAGCCAGTTCTGATGAGAGTAAGGTTCATGTGTTCCCCTCTAACTTCCCCATTCTCTCCTCCACTGTAAAAGCTCTTTAATGCCTCTTTTATGTGAAAGTATTTACCCTCTCCCTTTCCCCTTCTCCCAGAGCATTCCTCTTTCTCATCTCTTAATTTTATTTTTTAAATAATCCTTCCTTTATATTCAATTTACATCTGTGCCCTCTGTCTAAATATACTCCTTCTAACTGTCCTAATAAAGGTAAAGTTCTGGGGCAGCTAGGTTGGATAGAGCTCCAGCTTTGGAGTCAGGAGGACCTGAGTTCAAATCTCTCAGACATTCTAACACTTACTAGCTGTGTGACCCTGGGCAAGTCATTTAACCCTGATTGCCTCACCAAAAAGCCAAAAAAAAAAAAAAAAGATAAAGTTCTTATGAGTTATAAGTATCATCTTCATATGTAGGAATGCAAACAGTTTAACCTGATTGAATCCCTTATGATTTCTCTTTCCTGTTTACCTTTTTCTACTTATTTTGAGTTGTGCATTTGAAAGTCAGATTTTCTATTCAGCTCTGGTCTTTTCATCAGGAATGTTTGAAAGTCCTCTTTCATTGAATGTCCATTTTTACCCCTAAAGGATTATATTCTGATTTTCTGGGAAGGTGATACTTGGTTGTAATCCTAGCTCCTTTGCCCTCCAGAATATTATATCCCAAGCCCTCTGGTCCTTTAATGTAGAAGTTGCTAAATCTTGTGTCATCCTGATTGCTCCATGTTACATCTCCATGGTAGCTTGAAATATTTTCTCCTTAACTGGGGAGCTCTGGAATTTGGCTGTAATATTCCTGGAAGTTATCATTTTGAGATCTGTTTTAGGAGGTGATCCGTGGCTTCTTTCAGTTTCTATTTTGCCCTTTGGTCCTAGGATATCAGGGCAGTTTTCCTTGATAATTTCATGAAGATGATGTCTAGATTCTTTTTTTAATCATAGCTTTCAGGTAGCCCAGTAATTCTTCAATTATTCTCTCCTCTATCTATTTTCCAGGTCAGTTGTTTTCCCAATGAGATATTTCACATTTTCTTCTTTTTTTTTTTCATTCTAATTTTGTTGTATTGTTTCTTGATGTCTCCTGGAATCATTAGCTTCCATTTGCCCAATTCTAATTTTTAAGAAATTATTTTCTTCAGTGAGTTTTTGTACCTTCTTTTCCATGTGGTCAATTCTGCTTTTTAAGGCGTTCTTCTCTTAAGTGGATTTTTGTGCCTGTTTTACCATTTGATCTATTCTGTTTTTTAATGTTATTCGGGTATTTCTTTGCCTCCTTTACCAAGATATTGACTCTTTTTTTCATACTTTTTTGCATTCTTCACCAGTTTTTCCTCTACCTCTCATATTTAATTTTTAAAATCTTTTTTGAGCTCTTTCAAGAATTCTTTTGGGGCCCAAGACCAATTCACATTTTTATGTGAGGCATTGGATATAGCAGTTTTTACTTTTATGTCTTCTTCTGAGTTTCTTTTTTGCTCTTCCCTATCACCGTAGTAACTTTCTATGGTCCGTATCTTTTTGTTGTTGTTTGCTCATTTTTCCAGCCTATTTCTTGACCTTTAACTTTATATTAAAGTTGGGCTCTGCTCCTAAGATGGAGGGGGTACTGTCACAAGCTTCAAGTTTTTTATGTGGCTATTTTCAGAGCCAGTTCTGGAGTTGTGTAAGTTTTCAGTTCTTCCAAGGTGGTATGATTTAAGGAGAGGTGTATTTACTACTCACTTGGCCTGGACTCTGGTCTGTGAGTGACTCCAAGCACTCTTTCCTGCCCTGGAACTGTGACCAGGGTCCCTGCTCCCCTGTAGCCACAAGCTCTGGTGTGCTAGCGTTCCTGCAGGCACTGAGATTGGGACCCAAGACTGCAGCCCAGGTGTGAGCATGGGCAATGCAACAGAGTCCTACACCCAGTGCCAGCGAAGGGACCCCTGTAATCTCCTTCTGACCAGTTGTCTGACGCCTTTACTCTCTATGGTCTGAGAGCTCCAGAAGCTACTCATTCAGTTGCCCCAAAGCTTGCTGTGATCTTGCCAGGGTATTACCTGCACTGGACTACACTCTGCTCTCACCCTGGTGGGTCAGACCATTGCTGCTTACTTTCTGAGTTGCCTTGGGCTGGAAAATTGTTCACTCCATCCCTTTGTGGGTACTCCCAGCAACTCCAGAATTCCTTCTGAGGTGTTATTGAAAATTGTTTGGAGGGGAATTTGGGAGACTCAGGTGAATCCCTGCCTTTTCTCTGCCATCTAGCAGCTGTCCTATCTTAAAGAAACTTATTCTAGGCTTCCTAAATATCTGTTGAATCCAGATCAGATTATGATTTTACCAGAGTCACCTGACTAGGATGGGGAACCCTGGGATATATAATTCCTTATCCCCAATTCAGAGAAGAGAACTTTAGCCCTTGGTGGGGTCAATATAAAGAGGCATTATCAAAGGCACACTGAGGAGGGACCTTAAATCTCATGAAGTCTGGCCTCTTTCCAAATGTCACAATTCCCTCTACATCATCCTTAGTAAGTAGGCTTACTTATAGGTCCTTGCTTGACCCCTTTAAATGCTCATTATCTCACAAAGCATTCTGGTCCATTGTGGACAGCTTAAATTATTGGAAAACTTCTCTTTATAATGAGCTAGAATCTGCTTCCTTAAGACATCTACACTTTGGTCCCGTTTTTCCCCCTCTGGAACTACATAGAATAATTCTCCTCATGATGTAGCTCTTCAAAGATTTGAAGATGGCTATTAGTTCACTTTCTCCGACTGTTACATGTCACATGACACTCGGAACCTCTCACTATCCTGTTCATTCTCCTGAATGTGTTCTATCTTATCACTGTTCTCTTAAAATATGTCACCCAAAATTCAATAGAGGCTGGTTTTTTAATCTGAGCACAAAGTTCAATGCTACATTACAGGAGAGCAGCATCCCATAGGCAGGTATTGTCACAAGAGTCAGTATGCTATCGTAGAAAGAGTCTAGGACTAGAGTTCAGGAGACCTGGTCACTGACCATGTGACCTTGGCACAGTCATTTCCTCTTGCTAGGCCTGTTTTGTCATCTGTATAATGAGGAAATTAGATTAAATTTTCAGGATCCCTTTCAAATTTAACATTCTGTGGTTCTTTTATAGTAGTGTATTCATGGAAGGATCTAGAGCCATGGATAATGCTGAGAGTGTTACCACTATGGATCAGTTAGTTAGGTCTTCATGGCACAGCAGTGTTTGTCATTTCTTTATGTGTATTTTTAAAATAAATTTTTGTTGATTTATTTTGTCTTTTACATCACCAAAATTTCCCTTGATATCCATCCTTACCATTCCCAGAGAACTCTCGTGTAGTAAATTATATTTTAAGGAAAAACAAAAGGAAGAAAAAGTCAGTAAAATGAATCAATATAGCAAAAAACCAAACAAAAAAAAAGGTCTGAAAATATGTGCAATGTACCAAGTACATGAACCTCCAGGAACCTCTGCAAAGGTGTGGGGAAGGGGGTATCTTGTCATATTTCTTCTTTAGACCCATGTTTGTGCTTTATAATTTTACAACATTCACTTCTGATTGTTTTGTGGTTATTCTTTGCATTTACGTTGTTGCAGTCATTGTGTATATATGGCTTTGCTTATTCTGCATCAGTTTATAGAAATTTTTCCTTGCTTCTCTGTATTCATAATAGCTGTTGTTTCTGATAGCACAACATTTTCCCATTTATTCATGTACCATAGTTTATTTGCCCATTCCCCAATTAATGAACATCTACTCAGCACCTCCCTCCCAGAGTGGCTGTGAGGATCAAATGAGATAATGTTTGGGAAAAAAAAGCACTTAGCACAGTGCCTGCCCCACAATTAGGCTTCATATCAATGCTCATTCCCTTCCCCTTCTCTTGTTTTCTTTGGCTGCATTCTTCATGGTAGCTTTAAATAATTCTGCTACACTGGGAACTTGCTTCCTATCAATCGCCTCTGGGTATAAGCCTGGTGTTGAAGTCTGCTATCTCTGGGTTAAAGGTTAGTCACATTTGCATAATTCCAAATTGCTCTCCAGAATGTTTGTACTAATTCACAGCTGCACTGATAGTACATTGTTGTACCTATGTTCCCACAACCCCTCCAATATGGACTATCCCTTTCTTTTGTCAACTTTGCCAATTTACAGGGTGTGAAGCAAAACTTCAGTTTTTATTTGCGTTTTTCTTATTATTAGTGACTTTAAGCATTCTTTCATGTAATTGTTAATAGTTTACTATTGTTTTAAGGAAAATTCATATCCTTTGACCATTTATCTTTTGGGGAATGGTTTCTGGTTTGATATTTATATACATATGCATATGTATATATGTATGTATATGTGCTGATTGTTTATGTATCTTATATTTATATAAATCCTTCTCAAAGAAATTTCATACAAAGATTTTTTCTGTGCGAATTTTTTTAAATTACAGAATGCTGAAATGTATAAACTGTCATCACAACAGTTCCATGAGGCAGCTACTCGGCTGGAGGACACAATAAAGTAAGGATTTGGCTTTCATTCTTTGCAAAACTTAGCACATATTTATGAACATTTCACTCTGTCCCAAGTGAATGTAAAGCTGCCTCTGCTCCTTAATCCCAGCTGTCTAGAAGTACACAGTTGACCATCTGCCATCATTCTTCAAACTTGGAAGTTAAAATGGAAAGTGGTCATCCCTAATTGACCACATTAACTTCTTCCTCAACCAACTCATTGGTAACTTGAGGCTTAGATTGAGTCAGAGCCCAGGACTTAGTCAGGAGAAGCTATTTTTCATTGCCCTGAAGCCTTGATATTCACTGGCCAAGGCTGTGCTGACAGTGATAGTGGAGAAGGGAGGGGAGTACTGGGGCCAGCTGCCCTCCCCTCCCTACTGGGAATCCTGGTGAAATGTAAAAGTGGGGAGTATTTTTCAGTGGAAAGTGGTGCTTTGACAATTACTGGTATAACTTGTTGGGCGGCCCTGACTTTGATCATCCAGAAAATAGACACTTTGTATTCACTTAAGAGTATACATTAGCTTAGGGAATCAGATGGTACCAGCAAAAAAAAAGTCTGGAGGTATCCAGAGTTAGGTCAATACACTAGGGTAAGGGAATGTTCAGTGGGAGGCAGAGAGGAGGGGAGAAATGTCATTTTCATTCAGATTCATCTAGAGTCTTTCAGGGGTGGGGAACCTGCAGCCTCGAGGCTATATGTGGTCCTCTAGGTCCTCAAGTGTGGCCCTTAGAATGAATCCAAACTTCACAGAACAAATCCCCTTAATAAAAGGATTTTTTCTATAAAACTTGGACTCAGTCAAAAGTCCGCACCCAAGGACCTAGAAGGCCACATGTGGCCCTGAGACCACTGCTTCCCCACCCCTGGTAGATCCTGTAATACACCCTGCTAATATGTGAAAGGCTGTCCTGTCCCATAAATTTATTCTCTCTGCTTTTCTGAGAGAGAGAAGAAGAGACAGAGAGACCTTGGTATAGGGTTGGGGAAGACAGAGGGTTGATATCATCTCCCTGGAGATTTCAGAGTTGTGATGGTTTTTGATCAAACCAGTGGCATTTCAACATTGGTGGAACTTTTAATTTGGTGTAATTGAAGGGAAGAAAATTCAAAAGGGTTCAGATAATTAGGAAGTAACAGAAATATTGTAAAAATGCTATTGATGAATAGCAGGTGAGAGGCCATTGAGGAGGTTTGAGCAGATATACACAATCTGCATATACCCAGGGGTATTTAACAAATGCTGGGGGGGAATGATTGTTCAGCATTTTGATAAGGGAAAAGAAACTTTTATTCTCCAATCCCCCCAAACTAGAGAAATAGCTTGAGTTTTGCTCAATCTTGGGGAACCTGCAGCCTCAAGGCCATATGTGGCCTTCTAGGTCCTCAGGTGCAGCCTTTTGACTGAGTCCAAGTTTTATAGAACAAATCCTTTTATTAAGAGGATTTGTTCTATGAAGTTTGGATTCAGTCAAAGGGCTGTAATTGAGAACCTAGAGGGCCACATGTGGCCTCGAGGCTGCAGGTTCCCCACCCCTGGTTTTGCTCAAAGAAGTCATTTTAAAAAGGTTGGGGGAATGGGGCTGGAGGAGAAAAAAATGTCCTGACAGTTGCTCTCTGGTAAGTTTAAGTCCTTCTGAAACAACAGAAAAAAAAAAAGAAGAGAATTTCTAAATAGTGACCTGGAAAGATGAACAACCCTGGAGTTGGTTTTTTTTTTTTGACTTGGTTTGATTGGTGTCCATAGATATTGCCAGTTGTACACTGAGAAGCAAATGAAAGGATTGATCAAACCTTGTTCTCAGTAATTTTATAATAACTTTGGATATGAGTGTCCTCAGGTGGACAAAGTCACAGTCAGCAGAGGTTGTCAATAGAGGGAGATTGTGAATGACCCTCCTTTGAGGACTGTTCTACCTCCCTGTTCCCCCCACAAACACACAAACACCTACACATCTTTGAGGGCTAACTAACTAGTTCTTATTTATAGTTCTAGCCTCAATTTATCCAAAGGCTGAGCGATAGAGGGAGAGCTTGGAAAGCAGTTTTATTAAGAGACCACCAAGTGACAGAATGGAGTAATGTGATCACCAGGAAAATAGAGATACATAGAGACACAACACCCCCCAACAATGGGAGGTTGCAGTGGCAGCAGATGCTGTATTCAACACTTTGTCACTCATTACCCAGAAGAAGTAGACAGCCTGAAAAAGCAAAGAAAGCAAAAAAGGCCCAGAGTGGCTTTTTAAGAGAAAAAGAAATACACACACACTCAGCAGCCTATGACTAAGATAACCATTCCTCCTGGAATTACACATATTGCCACTCCCACCCTCCACCCCAAGCAATAGAACTTGACCTCTTGTTAACTTGTGACATCCTATTCTTCCGACATCATTAGTTTGATTTTGCTAGCAGACTTTCACACATCCTTACACCTTCTGAAGGTGCTATGTGGAAGATTATTTTTTTAGATGCAAGTTAATAATAAAATTAATTTTTTGTTTTGAGAATTTTGTGATGTGCCTCGACATAACTGAAGATATTTGGGGGTAACTGAAAAGCTGGGCTTGGGAGTTACTGCCGTAGAAAGAGTCATGGGCAGATCTGTTCTGAATGCAGGTAATCAAGAGTAGAGGGCATCTGTATGTTTGTTAAGCATTTGCCCTTTCTTATTCCTTTCTCAAATGTTCTCCAAAACCTGCATTCTGAATCCTTTAGCCACTTTGAGATTCCTAGAGCTACCCTAGGAATTCAGACTGATCTAGAAAGCACAGTTGCACTACCTAGAGGGTGTGAATATAATAAGAGAGATAGGGATGGGGAGGGGATATAGATCCTCTCTAAAGTCCCAGGAAATGATAGTTTAGATAGAAAACCCTTCAAATGGTCCCAGAGTCAACCTGTTGCCCTGAATGTTCCCTGAGCTTTCAATACTGGCTCATCCCTCCATGTGTCCCAGGGGGCCCTGGTCCCAATATTCCTCGGAGCTCTTAGATTTGCACCAGTGGTACCGTTGGCTACTTTGGAGTTGCTACGCACCATACCTATGGACTACTATAGCAGCTTTCTTGGTGGTTTTCTCTGCTTCTGAGCTCTTCTTCCCATCCTCCTCCTCATATCCAAATCTATTTCCACAGCTTCCATATTAGTCTTTCTGAAACAGTTTTCCATATGTTACAACCTCCATATCAGCTTGACATTCCTACACAGCCTTTCATGTTCTGGCCCACTTTCCCTTTCCAGATTTATGAACCACACCTTCTCCACTCCAATCCTTCACTTCCAATTAAATTGATCTACTTTAATCCTCTAAATTGGCCGTTTGCACTCCTACCTGGATGCCTTTGCTCACACCTTGCCTTTTGCTTAGTAACAGGGTAGCCTTGCTTGAAGTACTGCCTCATCATAGACTCTTTCCTGAAATGTGCCAGTGATAACCCCGCCCTCTGAATTCTCACAGCACTGTCGGTGCCACTCAGTTGGTATATATAAAATCATAGAATTTAAGAACCAAAAGAAAGGTACCTTGGGGGATCATCATACTGCCTCCAGCTGTTTTTGTCTTTTTATATGTATATATAGCCTGTGCCACAATTAGATTGTAAGTCCCTTAAAGCCAGTACAGACCATGCTAATTTGTACATCTTTCCATTTTCGACTAAGTCTTATTCTGCTGTCTCTTCGTGTTTTGAAGATAAACATGGATTTTGGTATTGTTGTTTGTATTAATATTTTAAAGTTTTATTTCTGCCTTTTGTTTTTATGCCACAGTCATTTCCTGTTATTACTATGTTGTTAGTGACCCCTTCCTGGTAACAAAGAAAATGTTAAGCAGCCCAATATGATAGCATATAGGGTACAGCACATCAGTATTCTTCCAGCTCTGTGTGAAGAGGGATCAAAGTGTGTTTTGTCTTCTGTTTTCCTAGAGTAAGATGACCATGGGTTCTTGAAAGTTATGGCAACAGACTAATGCAAACTCTTTTCAGTCCTTTCAGGCTAAAAAAACTTCAAGTATAAACTGTGCACTAGAGAGTTGGCTGCCAGCTGATGAATTTTTTTTCTCTTTGCCCCTCACCTCCTTTTTTTGAAAGGAAAAATAAAGGGGACTAAAAAAAAGAATGGAACATAGCTGGAGTTGGATAATTCTGCATCCCAGTCTTCTCCCATCCTCCCCATCCAAACCAGACCTAGATCTGGGTTTGGCCCACTTTTATTTCATTGTAACTACTCTCTCTCCATTTCTGCACTCTTTTCTTTTTCTCATTTTAAAAAGAAACTTTTAGTATTTATTAATATCTTTTGTTTTTATATAACCTTCATTTCCAGATACCTCTCCTTCCCTACCCAGAAAATTATTCCTTATAACAAAAAATGAAAAAAAAAAAAGAAAAATGTAATTGAGCAAAACTAACCAACATATATAAGTCTAACAGTACATGCAACAATTTTTCCACAAATCCCCTAAAGTGCAATAAAGCAAGAATGGTGACATTTCTCATCTTTTCTTTGGGGCCAGTCTTGATTGTTATAACTATACAGCATTTAGTTTTATTGTTTTTGTTACTGTTCTTTCCATTTGCATTCTGTAGTGCTATGTATATTATTTTCCTGGTTCTGCTTATTTCACTTTGCATCAGTTCATATAAATCTTCCCGTGCTTCTTTGTGCTTTCGTATTCATCATTTCTTATAGCACAGTCATATTCCATTACATTTATGTCCACACTTTATTTAAACATTCCCCAGTCATTGGGTATCTACTTGATTTCCAGTTATTTACTACCACAAAAGCAGCTAAGCAGTGCAGTGGATAGAGTGCTGGTCCAGGAGTCAGGAAGACAGTTCTGGCCTCAGACACTTATTAGCTGTATGACCCTGGGCAAGTCACTGAACCCTGTTTGCCTCAATTACACACCTGTGAAATGAGGTGGAGAAGGAAATGGCAAACCACTCCATTATCTTTGCAAAAAAAAAAAAAAACTCTAAATGGGGTCACAG